TTTGCCAATTAATTTCTTTCTATTTTAGTAGAGACAGGGTCTGGCTCTTGCTCAGGCTGGCTTTGAACTCCTGACCTTGAGCGATCCGCACGCCTCATCCTCCCAGAGTGCTAGCATTACAGGTGTGAGCCATCGCACCCGGGCCTGCAGTTTTTCTTTGGATGGGAGTATTGGTCTTTTCATTATCCGTTCGTAGAAACACTTTATAAACTTAAAAAAAAAATCTTTATAGAGGGGGATTAGTCCAATGTCGATGATTACCAAACTTTTGGCCTTCGCCAGTCCGACAGGTGAAAAGAGCATCCCATGGCGGCGCGCCTGTGCACAGGTGGGCCGAGCATCCACCTGGTGCCTGAAGCCCACTGGCGTTCATGTCCCTCTGCAAGCTTCCCGGGCCTGCCCTGCAAGGGGGTTCCCGCCCGGCCGTGTGCGCGTGTCACCTGCTGGGACGTCTTTGCAATGCCCGAACGCGGGCCCCAGGCCTGGACCCCAGTTCAGGGGGTCAGGGCGTTTCCAAAGAGCCCCCCCAGCTGATTCCCACCAGCTCCCGTGAGTCCGAGTCGGGGGCGTTGGCGACCCAGGGGCCCCTTTCGGGGCTGCGGTTCCTGCGCAGTAAACAGGCAGCGCTGCAGGAAGGATGCGGGTTATGTAGGAACAGGATCGATAGCCCCCTCGCTTGGGGTCCGGTGGGGTTCGCACAGGGAGCCCTGCAGCGGCTAGCGTGGCTGGTTGCCATGGCAGCCGGCCAGTGCGTGGGCGCCCGGTCTGGCCGTCGCGCTCTAGGGTCCACGTGTGGCCGCCCTCAAGGTCACGGCCCGCTGGGGCACGGGGTGACGGACACCGAGTCCTGGGACGGGCACACAGGGCGGGGGCAGGGACTCTGCAGGGACAGCTGCCCAAAGGGACCGTGGCTAGAAACTCCTTGTGGAGGAGAGGTCCCCTTACCCTTCCATCTCTCCCTTTCTGGGAGAATTCAGGGCGTCCATCATTTGATTTTAGAAGAAGCAGACAGGAAGAAGAAGGTTTAGGAAATGTAAAATCCCGGTACTGCTGTTCTGTCTGAAAAGCAAAGCTTGAAAAAATGAAGAGTCTGCAGAGAAATTAAGTTAGGGAGGACAGTATTAGAGGAAGGGATTTGGAAGGTAGTAGAATTAGACCTACTCTGAATCTCTTTGTGCTGTTTAGTTTAAAATTGCTTTAATATATTGAATAAAGACAAGGCGATATTTATAACAATAGCAGTACAAAAAATCCAACGGTTGCCGTTACTAGCTTCCCCTTCCCAGTGATACACTTAGCCTTTCAAACCCAGGGTAGATTGTTTTTTTTTTTTTTTTGGAGACAGGTCTCACTTTGTTTGTCCAGGCTAAGAGTGAGTGCCGTTGGCGTCAGCCTAGCTCACAGCAACCTCAAACTCCTGGCTCAAGCGTCCTCCTGCCTCAGCCTCCCGTAGTAGCTGGGACTACCCAGCATGCGCCACCATGGCGGCTAATTTTTTATATATATATCAGTTGGCCAATTATTTCTTTCTATTTAATAGTAGAGATGGGTCTCGCTCTGCTCAGGCTGGTTTGAACTCCTGACCTTGAGCCAATCCGCCGCTCTCGGCCCTCCAAGGACTAGGATTACAGGCCGTGAGCACAGCGCCCGCGAGATTGTTTTTAACACCTCTCTGTTTTATATGACAAAATATTTTCAGTGAGGATCATGAATAATCAGTAATACTCATTATTTTATTGATCCATACTTAGATGTCAAATAAATGATTGATTTAAAAAGAAGTATGAATTACTATTTTAAATGTATTATTTAAATTCAATAAAATATTCAATGTGTGAATCTTCACCCTGAGAAGCAACCTTGAAAAAAATATTTCATATATGAATCAAAATTTGGATGTTCCAAAAAACAATTACACCTTGTGGCTCACACCATTTTGGGGTTTTAAATTTTTTTTTTTGAGACAGAGTCTCACTCTGTTGCCCGGGCTAGAGTGCCGTGACATCAGCCTAGCTCACAGCAACCTCAAACTCCTGGGCTCAAGCAATCCTTCTGCCTCAGCCTCCCAAGTAGCTGGGACTACAGGCATGAGCCACCATGCCCGGCACATTTTTTTCTATGTATTTTTAGTTGGCCAATTAATTTTTTTCTATTTTTAGTAGAGACAGGGTTTGGCCCTTGCTCAGTCTGGTCTCGAACTCCTGATCCTGAGCTATCTGCCTGCCTCGCCCTCCCAGAGTTCTAAGATTATAGGCATGAGCCTGGCTGTGGTTTTAGATTTTAAACACAAATGAGAACTCCAAGTGGTCGAATAGAATGATGGAAGTGACCATACTCAGGGTCTCTTTCTTTTTCTTTTTGTAAACCCAAATGAAACTTTACTTTTACTCACTCCATGACAAAATCTCTTTCTTTTCATTTGGATCACCTTGCGACTATTGTTTATTTCCATTATACTCTTTAAACACAGGAATATTGACGGTTGTAGGGGTTAGAAATATGAATTGTATCCCAAAACACCCAAACAAATGAAAACCGTTGTGAACTTGTGATTGAAAATGAGTGGATGTTGGAGAGTCTATTTTGTGTTTCTGTAAGGGAGTGCCCAAAGCTAGGTCATTTATAAAGAAAAGAGGCTTGTTTGGCTCATGGTTCTGTAGGCTGCATAAGAAGCAGGGCACCAGCATCTGCTTCTGCGGAGGGCTCTGGCTGCTGCCACTCGTGTTGGAAGGGAAGGGGAGACCGTGTGTGCAGAGATCACATGGCCAGAGAGGAAGCCAGAGGGAGGGGAGGGAGGTGCCAGGTTATTTTTAATCACCAGCTCTCTAGGGAACTAAGAGAGCAAGAATTCACTGACAAGCCCTCCTCCCAGGGAGGGCATTAATCTATTCATGAGGGATCTGCCCCCATGACCAAAACACCTCCCGTCAGGCCCCACCTCCAACCCGGGGAACCAAATTTCAAAGTGGAGTTTGGAGGCGTCAAATGTTCAAACTATAGCACCATTTCAGTTGGGTATGTCAGGGGCTAACTGCAGAAGTAGTTCTCCAGATTAATTTCTACACAGAACACAATGTTTATTGAAGGTTGTATCAGTTAGTGACCACTCAGGAGCTATAAATCACACCAATAATTTGAACAGGGAACATTTTATAAAGAATAATTAACTAGGAGCAGGTATTAACTACTAAGAGAGATAAAGAAAACTAAACAATATGGGAATAACAGATCTAGGAAGCAGTTACTACCTCCGGGGCTGAAAGTACCTAAGTGTATTAGTTTTTATTGTTGAGTCACCAGTTTAGGAGTTTAAAACAATACCTGTTCAGCTGCCATGAAAAAACAGTATGGTGGTGCCTCAAATAAAATAAAATAAAATAAAATAAAATGACCATATGGTCCCAGTAATTCCAGTTCTGGGTGTATGCCCAACAGAATTGAAAGCAAGGATCAAACGGATACCTGTACACACAAGTTCATAGGAGTATTAGTTACAATAGTCAATAGGTGGAAGTGAACCAAATGTTCATCAGTGAATATATGGATAAACAAAATGGGGTGTATATACATAGAATAGAACATTATACAGCTTTAAAAAGGAAAAAAATCCTGGTATATACTATAACATGGATCAACCTTGAAAACATTATGCTAAGTAAAATAAACCAGACACAAAAGGACAAATGCTGTAGGATTCCACTTATTTGAGGTACCTAGAGTACTCCAATTCATAAAGACAGAGGAGAATGGGTGCTTGCCAGGGGCTGGGGGTGGGTACTGGCACCATGCCCCTTGAACTTCCCAGCCTGCAGAACCATGAGCTAAATAGACTTCTTTTCCTTATAAATTATCCAGTTTTGGGTATCTGTTACAGCAACACTACACAGACTGAGAGAGTTTGCATTTCTCTGCAACCTGCTTTTCCACGTCACCCTGCAGCTCAGTCCCCTTTGAGCACCACCGTAACTGGGACTCAGCATTTCAGAGCTGTCCCCTCACCATTTCCTATCATTTGCTCTCAGAGACACCCCTGATTTCTGCCTCCTTGATGTGGGCACCTGTTGCTTTAACCTCTCTGCCATTTCTTAGTCTTGGTGAATTTCCCCCCTGATTTTCCTTTCGGGAACCACCTCTCTCTCACGCCCAGTTCCAAGCAGAGCCGGGGTTGTTCTGAAACCCTAAGGGAGTAAAGAACTCGGCATGCCTGAAACGTAGGCACTGTGCTGTCTAACACGGTAGCCACCAGCCACATGTGACTATTTAAGTATGAACGAGGTAAAATGGCATATTACTAGAATTCTGTTTCTCACTTGCACCATCCACAGCTCAATATTGGAGAATATTTCCATGCTCACAGGAAGTTCCGCCGGGTGGGGCCGTCTGAGATAACTGGAGACGGTGACCCGGTGGGGGGAGGGTGTGCGCTGGAGAGGCTGGAGCAGGGGCAGGGGCTGCATCACGTGGACCTACCAAGGTCTGGGTAAGGAGTTAGATTTTTAGGTCCAACTCGAAGCCGTGATGGCTTTTAAGCAAGGGCATGGCATTGCCCAATTTCTGTTTTAAGAGGAGCACTCTGGTTGCTATGGAGACGCATGGCAAGGAGGCGGAACTGGGAGTGGGGAGGGGCCCACAGAGAGAAGCGGGAGGGCTGGTCAGGAGGTTCGCACAGTGGTTGGGGCAAGTGGCGACACGACGGTGGCTGGTGCTGAGCCGTGGCCCTGGAGCTGGCTGGAAGTGGACAATACCGAGATGTTTAGAGGGAGTGGATAGAACTTGCTGTGGGTGAGCACAGGGCGGGAGCTGTGGTGGCCACGAGGGTGGCCTCGGGGACCTTCAGGAAGTGTAGCTGATTCACGGATAGACCTCACTCCAAAGGAGTGGTCTCAACCCTGGCTGTAACTCTGGAATTTTCTGTGGGAGCTTTAAAATAAACAAGCGCTCAGGCCTCGTCCCTTGTTGGGTTGGGCATGGACATTTGCATTGTTGCTAAAAGCTTCTGGGGCGTTGTAACGTGCACCCAAGGTTAAGAATCACTTTTTTTAAATAAAAGGGCGCACTTGTGTGTTGGGTTCCAACACAGGAATGGTGCAGGAGTTGGGTGTTTTGGTGGTACAGCCCAGGGTCTGCCCTGCAGCTCATTGAGAATAATACGTGATTCCTAAGGTATCAACGCAAAGGTAACAATGTAGCTCAAGGCATCAGTGAGTTGAGGGGTCCAGCTTTAATGGGAGGCTAGCCCTGGCATCCGAAGTTCCAGCACAGTTATCGACGGGAGCCATCAGCAGAGATAACTTCCATAGTGATGGGATAACAGTTCAGGCATCAGCGGGAGGCATCACCAACCAAGCTATTAGGAGCTGGAAAGGCGGGAGTGGGAGATGGCCAAGCAATGAGGTCACTGTACTTGACATTGTCTTTGTCTGCCAGCATTGTTTCCTTGGGAGGACCCCTTTGCCCCTCTTTCCCTTGCAGGTGGAGTTGTCAATCATGGTGTCCCGCTTTGGCCACTGGCTGGGCCAATCATAGCGCAGATTTCCCCTGCATTCAGCGATTGGTTCGGAAGTGGCTGCACACCTCAAACGGCACCGATCACAGTTCTCCGTAAGAGGTGTGTCTGGATGCTGATGAGACGCCATCATTTGGAGCCTTTATGCATCAGCTATCAGCCGCTGCATAATGAGTTACCCCAGAGCACAGTGGCTTAAACAACAGTAATATTTCATTGTCTCTCAGTTTCTGCAGGCCAGGACTTCAGACAGGGCACAACGGGATGGATTGTCCCTGTTCTATGATGTCTGGGACCTCGGCTGGAAGACGGTGAGGCTGGAGACTGGCCTCATCCGAAGACGCCGCCACACATAAGGTTAGTCATTGCAGCAGGCGGTCAGCCGAGCCACGCGGAGATACTCCCGTGTGTCTGGAGCCCCAGCAGGTGGCTGAGCCACGGGCCAGAGCCTGCTCACCCTCCTAGCGCTGGAACTCCAGCCCTCCTGGGGCAGCCCTGGGCCAAGTTCACCAGACTGCTCCCGCAAGGTGACTTTCACACGGACTCCGGAGCCGGTGAACGCAAAATGGATTGTGCTTTCCGACCCCAGAAAGGCAGGATGTCATTCAGCCAGTGGGAGAAAAAAGTTCAGCCCAAAGATAAGTGGAGACCAAATTTGTCTGCCTCTCATCTAAGTCCCAAGGTTGGGGCAAGATCCGGAGGGCGGGGCTGGGTTTCGACCTCGAAGAGGTTGTTAATTACCTTGAATGGGTCCCACGTGATGCTTTTAAGCACACGGATTTTGCCCAGGGAGGATGGAGTGGGCAGTTTGGTTTGGGCCTCGCGCAGGACGAGAGTGAGGTTTTATAGATCCACCTCCCTGGCTGTTCTGAGCTCATCCTTGTGTCGAGGGGGCCGGTGCGGTCAGTGGGACAGAGGGGGGAGCGCGGGCAGACCCGGAGAGCGCGTGGGATTTCTTGCTCCTGTGCGTTTCGCTGTAGCTCAGAAGCACCGAGGTGTGGCGTGGCAGGGGCGGTGAGTTCTTCCTCTGGCCACGATTCTCCCTGGATGCCACGTTTTCAAAAATTTGTTCAAGGTGTGGGGCTGTATAATCTATCACCCGAACCAGGAAACACTGTGGATAATTATACCGGGGCAACAGGTGCAAATGAGGATGTTGCTGGCGGAACAAAGTCGTGTTGTCATCCAAGGTCAGAGTGCACGCATGCTTGTGAAAAGATGTCAGAGGAAGTTGTAGGAAACCAAGAAGGGAGAGGCATGCAGAGAGGGGGGTCCAAGGGCGGCGGAGGCTTCTTGAATGTGTTGCCTTCTGCCCCACGTCTGCACTGCCTGATGGGCCTGCAACCCCTCTGCTGTGAGCAGCACTTGGCCCACTTCCACTTGGCTGGGTTTAGGGGGGAATTGCCTGAAAAGGTACAGTCATGACATTCACCATGGCTATTTGACTTTTAATTGACATAGAATAATATACCTATAGTAAAGCCACATATGTGTGCTCCTGTGTAACCACCAGCTGGATCAGGAGTTGGAATGTTTCTCTGGCTGGACTATTTTAATTTCTTTCATCCTACTGGGGAAAAAGGAGTTGTTTGTTGTGTTTTCTTCAGCCTCCAGATCATGCCGTGTGTGCCTCCTATGGCTGCCGTGACAATGACCGCACAACGGAGCGGCTTCAACACAACACAGACACATCATCTGACAGGTCTGGAGCTCAGAAATCTGAAATGGACCTCACTGAGCTAAAATCAAAGCGTCAGCAAGGTTGTGCCCCTTGAGCGTCTAGCAGAGAGTCGTTTTCTTGCCGTTCCCAGCTTCTAGGGGCAGCCTGCACTCCTCGACTCGAGGTTCCTTCCTTCTGCAAAGACCAATGTCCACTGACTTTCCCATATGGCGCCACTCTGAACTCCCTTTCCTGCCTCCCTCTTCCAAATGTACAGACCGTTGCGGTCATGCTGGATCCTCTACCTAGATAACCTAGGCTAATCCCCATCCAAAGGTCAGCTGAGTAGTGACTTTGATTTCACCTGTACCCAATTCTCTCTTGCCGTGTAACATGATATATGCATAGGTTCTGGGGATTAGGATATATACCTCTTTTGGGAGCATTATCCTGGCCACTACACATGCGTATGTTATATGTATGCTCATTAAGGAACAAAGCCCTCTCACCTCAACTCATTATGACGTTTTCACTGTTAAACAGTCCACATTCCTGGGGAAGGGGTTGGGAGGAGAGAATTTACATGTACTGAGCTCCTAACGTGTGCCTGGCACATAGTTTTGGGATTTCACAGAGATGATATCACTCCTGGAAGTTCTTGGTGGTGGATAGTTAGGGATGCTTTCAGCTGCAGGGAACTTAGCCTGGCTCATGGTGGGTGGCTTTGGCAAACTGAGGGTAATTTCTCTCATTTAAGAAGTCTAGAGGCAAACAGCTGTTGATCTTGGGTCAGCACCTCAGCGGTGTCAGGGCCAGTGCCCCTGAGTTCTCTCTGCTTTTTCTAACTGCTTGCTACCTCACAGTCACAAGACAGCTGCTCCTGCTCCAGGCATCATGTCTGTTTTCCATGCAAGATGTGGAGAGAGGGAAGGATGGCATTAGCTTCAATTATTCCTTTTATTTACTTATTTTTAATCAGAAATGCAAGATCGCTTTCAGAATTCTCCCTGTTCTGCAGATGTCTATCTACATATTATAATATTTGGGCATATGATGACTTCTAGCTGCAAGGGAGGCTAGAAAAGTGATTTTTTGTTTTTATCCCTCTTTAGTCAGGGCCGGCAAGGGAGAAAGGGGATTGGGAAAAGAATTAGGCAGCTAAGAAATTGTGTTTACCATGGCAAAATTGTTCCCACTGTTACAGACCTCTTTGCCTCCCTTGCCTGAGGTCTCACAGGTTGAAAGTGGAGGAGTCAAAACTCAAATTCTTAAACTCACACTCATTCCACTGCCTCACACTGCCTCCTAACAGCTTTTTAAAAAAAGTGAATGGTAAAATTTCTTTACTGAGTATAATTTACATGGAGTAAAATGCACAGATCTTAAAAGCACAATTTGATGAGCTTTGACAAATGTCTACACCCATGTATGTAGTGGTCACCCAGATTAAGATATAGAGCACTGACATCACTCCAGAAAGTTCTGTTGTGATCCTTTCCAGTTAAACCTCACCTCTCCACTGCCGAGGCAACCACTTCTCTGATTTCTATCACCATGCCTTTGTTTTGCATTTTAAAAGAATTTCAGGTAAATGAAATCCTAAAACACGTATGCTTTGGTGTATACTCTTCCCTCAACGTTAGGTTTTTGAGATTCGCCCATGTTTTTGCATGGATCAGTGGCTCGTTCCCTTTTACCGTAGAGATGCACTCCATTGAATGGGTATGCCGCGGTGTGTTTAGCCTGTCTTCGGCGGATGGTTATTTGGATTGTTTCCAGTTCTTGGCTATCATGAATAAAGGTGCCATGAACCTTCTTGTTCAGGTCTTTTTGGTGGGCGTGGGTGTTTGTTTCCGTTGGATACAAGCCTAGCGGAGGGATTGCTGGTCACGTGTTGGATGCATATTTACTTTGTTAGAAATGGCTTGGCTGCCTCTTGATAATGGTCCTACTAAAAGAGGGGGAGAGGGAGAATGTAGGGAGAGGGTCCAGGAAGAGAAGAGCTTCAGGGACTTCAGGTATTAATACATGAGTAGGTGGGAGACCACAGGCACGGGGCACCTGGCAGGTTATGAGAGCACACGAGGACAGTGCGATGGGATGGAAGCGCACTTCCTCAGCTCTGACCGCCTTTGCTACGTGTTGCCAGACACTCTGATTTTAATCCATTGGTTTTCAACCTTGGCCTCCCATTGGAGCCACCCAGGAACTATAAAAAATTGCTGGCGCTTGAGTCCTACCCCCAGAGACTCTGAATTTAGGGGATGGCATGCGGCCCCAAGCACCTGAATTTTTAAAAGCTCTTCAGGTGACTCTTAAGTGCAGTTAGGGGTGGGAACCACTGCTTTAAAGCAAATCCCTCATGCACTTGAATGTTAAAATGTGAATTCTGGTTCAGAGCACCCTGGTGGGACCTGAGATTCCACGTTTCTCATAAGCTCCCAGTTGCTGCCAAGGCTGCCGGTCAGTGGAGCTCGCTGTGGGCAGCAGTGTTTAAAGAGACGCTGCAAATGTGGATTTCAAAGTGGGAAACCTCCTAATTAGAGAACAAACAAATCACTGTGTACGCTAAACGATTCTGCAGGCCGATCTCCCTGAGGGCTACTGGTGTAACGTGCATGTGTGCGTGCGTGTGTGTGTGTGTGTGTGTGTGTGTCTCTCTCTCATATCTCTTTTGTAGGTTTCCTGTTATGGCCAGGACACACGGATTTTGTGAAGCCTAAGACAAGATCCCTGACTACTCGGACCCATTTTTGGTGGCAGGGATGGACAGGAAGGCGCGCGGGCTGCCGGCCTGTTTTGGGGACAGGGTGATCTGGAAAATGCCTCGGAACAGTCTTCCCCACACCACCCCAGGGCAATCTCACCCGTAATTGGCATAACTGGTTTTCGTGCTGATGAGAATAGGCTAGACGAGGTCCAGACAGCTCCCCCTCACACCCCGGCGTCGGGGGCATGCATTTCTCCTCTCCCTTTATCGGATCAAAGTCTTCCATCAAGCTGTCTGGTTCTGTCTTATTCAATTAAATTTTTTAATCCAATTTGACCCATGCATTCATCTTCTTTGAAATCTGAGAGACGACAGCATCCGCTACAAATTGAGAGTAAATGGCTGAATTAGTTTTCAGAGAGGATTCAACGAGACTGTTTCTTCCCAGAGACCCACGGGCTCTTCAGAGGCACAGGTGGCTGGGGGCTTGGAGGAAGGGGAGGGGAGTCACAATCACCTTTCGTCTGGGGACCCTGGGAGGGAGACTGGGAGGACACACCCTGGAGCCAGAGCATCTGGGGTCAGATGCAACTGGGTGATGTCAGGCAAACGCTTGAAACTGTGTGCCTCAGTTTACCCACCTGTAAGATGAGGATGATAACAGCAGTACCTACCTCCCTAGGGCTGTTGGGGGGATTAAATGCACCCACACACATATGGAAAACACACAGAATAGCGCTTGGCATGTGATAACGGCCATATGTAAGTGTTAGCCAGTGTTGACATCACGCTGGGCAGTTTACTCAGCATGCCCACACGCAACGTGGCGAGGCCACATCACACACCCGCGTTTAACTCAGTGGGAATTAAGCCGTGCGGGCTTGGCCAATGTATCACCTAGCAAAGCAATCAAACGGAACAGCCTTCAACCAGGCACTTTTTAGGTTGTTTAACTGAAGCATCAGCATTCTGTTTCGTTGCTGGAGGAAAAACTGGGTGGGAGAGCAGGGATACAGTAATACTCAGAGCCATCCTTCCTTTGTGGATAAGATAAGTGATTTTCAAGGTGAAGTCTGGACTATATATGATTTTTTTTGCCTGAAATATTGATTTTTCAAATTTTCAACTGATCTTGGGCTTTAATCATGCCCCGTTTGATCCTTGTGCAACCTAGTGAGGTGGGCAGGGTGTGTGAACATAATCAGATTAGCTGAGCATGGTGGTGCAGACGGAGAGCTTGGGAATCAGGCTGCCTGGGTTCAAATCCCTTTCCTGTCACTTACTCTTGCAGATACCATAGACAAATCAATCTCTTTGTGTCTTCATTTCCATATGTGTGAGCGCAAAGGATTCTGCTAATAATAAAAGTAAAATAAAAATATTGAAGCGCATTCATGATCTCAAAAAAAAAAGAAAAAAAAATAAAAATAAAAATAAAAACACTCATTTCATAGGCTCGTTTCAGGATCAAGTGGGTTAATGCACGTAAAGTGCTTGGAACAGTGCCTAATAGATGCTAGTCAAAAGTTATAACCAGGCCGGGCACGGTGGCTCACGCCTGTAATCCTAGCACTCTGGGAGACTGAGGCTAGAGGATCATTTGAAGTCAGGAGTTCAAGATTAGCCTGAGCAAGAGTGATACCCCATCTCTATTAAAAATAGAAAACATTAGCCAGGCATGGTGGCGCTGGCCTACAGTTCCAGCTACTTGGGAGGCTGAAGCAGGAGGATCGCTTGAACCCATGAGTTTGAGGTTGTAGTGAGCTGTGATGACGTCACTGCACTCTAGCTGGGGTGACAGAACGAGACTCTGTCTCAAAAAAAAAAAAAAAAGAAACTAATAGCAAGAGTGAAAAACAATGACTAGTGGCAGACCCCGTGTGATGCATTTGGTGTGTATTACTGCACTTGAACCTGCTAGGAGCCATTTTTGCAGAGGTGATGAGGTTTACCGAAGTCCTGCCTCCGCAACCTCAGCTCTGCTGCTCACATGCACCTTTAGCCTCACATGGGACCCTGCGGAAAAGTATGAATGGTATGAAGGTGTCCCCTCTAAGGAGACATACCAGATCTTCAGGTCATTGAGCACCTACTACCTGCCTGGCACTGTGCTAAGCGCATTGTCTCAGTTAATGTTTGCTGTGACTCTGTGAGGTGGGTGCTGTCACTGGCCCCACTTTCATACAGAGAAACTGAGGCACAGGGCCTCTGTCTGACTCATTCTGGGGTCCTAGCACCCATCCTGGGTCTGTTGGGGGTAACTGTTTGCTGAATGAGAGGTTGTCTTCTGGTTCTGGCATGAATGTGTGATCTGTTTCATCCATCATAAGAAATGGGGGTGGGGGAAGAAGGGCGGGGTTCTGCGGGGAGCACATAGGACAGTGGGGCCCAGGTGGGTGAAGGCATATCATGCAACTTTGCTGAACACTTACACCTCTTGTTGTCTGATGCATTTTCCCCACATAGTTTGCTGCCATGTATATCCCACCCCCACAGTTACCCTGCAAAGGCTTTTTTTTTTTTTTTTGAATGGGGTCGTGCCCTGTTGCTCAGGCTGGAGGGCAGTGGCACCATCATAGTTCACTGAAACCTTGAACTCTTGGGCTCAAGCCATCTTCCTGCCTCAGCCTCCCAAGTAGCTGGGTCCACAGGTGCGCCACCATGCTCAACTAATTTTTATTTTTTTTTCGGTAGAGACAGGGTCTTGCTATGTTGTCCAGGCTGGTCTCAAACTCTTGGCCACAAGCAATCCTCCTGCCTTAGCCTCCCAAAGTGCTGGGATTATGGGTGTGAACCACCATGCCCAGCCCCTGCAAGGTTTTTGTTGAGTCTCTTTTCTTCATTTTATTGGGCATTTGCAGTTTAGAGTAGGGTATGCAGGGAGCATCTCACTGAGCAAGGGACTTCTGAGCAAAGATTTGAAGGGAGTGAGGGAGATGGTTCAGGAAAAAGGGGGAGGAGGTGTACGGTGGCAGGAGTGAGGATCTGGGGCACATAGGGGCTTGGTCCTGTATGGGAGGAGACCCTGGCAATAAGACATGCATCAAGTTATTTAATTCTTACAAATGCCAGACTAAGGGGCACATAGGGCTCAGAGAGGTTAAGGGACTTGACTGAGACCACACAGCTAACAGGTGACTGAGCTGGGATTTGAACCCATAGCCTTGACCATGGAGCCTTGGCTCTTTACTCCATGAAAGGCGGGAGAGACCGCCCAGTCCCTTTCACGAGAGGCCCATTCTCACCAAGAGCAATGCTCACGAATCCACGCCAGGCTGAGAGCTGGTAAGCTTTGTGCTGAATGGAATTCTAAGGAGAATAAGAGCAGGAACCCGAAGGACCGCTTGTGCCAATAAATTGATTTTTTTCATGTCCTCCTGCTGCTGGGTTACGAGAAATGAGCCAGGCCTGCTGCTGCCCAGGGAGTCCCCGGGGAGGTTTTTGGAAGCCCCCGTTGCCAAGGCAACCCAGGCACCCTCTGGAAGTGCATTGTCCTGCATGTGCTCCTGTCTGCCCCATCCCAGCTGGTTGTCTGGACCCGGCCAGCCTTTCCTGTGGCCCTTTCTAGTAGGAGCAGGAGGTGGAGTGCAGCAGGAGAATTCGGGGGGGGGGGCCCTGCACCCCGTGACAGGTGCTCACTCCTCTATTCAAAACCCCGTCTCACCCAGAGTGAAGGGCAGCGTCCTTGCAGAGCCCTGCAAGGCAGGTATGATCTGGCCTCCCACTGCCTTTCTGGAATTATCTCTTACCACCTTCCCCTGGCTCCAGTCCAGCCTCGTTGCTGGTCTTCAGCACTCCAACCCTACCGGCACCCCAGGGCCTTTGCATTTGCTGTTCCCTCTGCTTGGAAGACTCTGTCCCCAGAGTTTTGGCCAGGCTCACACCATCATATCCTTCTTCCCTTTGCTGAAATGCTACTTTCTCTGACCACTCTTTAGCATTTTATTGCCATATTCCCTATTCCTTGCTATTGTGTTTTCCTCATACATATCTAATATAACATGTAAGTTTGCTTACTTTTCTTGCTTACCGACTTTCTCTTTGTGGCAAGCAGCCTCCATGAGGGCCCCCAAGGGTCCCCACTCCTGGTATTCATGCCCCTCCCACTGGGTAACTTGCGTTTAGCCGACAGGACGCAGATGAATACATTGAAGCCTAATCCACACTGTGATGGTGTGAGGAGGTAGGGCCTTTGGGAGGCGATTAGGCCATGAGGGCGGGGCTCCCATGAATAGGATTAGTGCCCTTATAAGAAGAGGCACAAGAGAGATGATCTCTCTCTCCCCCTCCTCCTCCTTTTCCTCTCCCCTCTCCTCCCCTTTGCCGTGTGAGGCCACAGCAAGAAGGCGGCCATCTGTACACCAGGCAGAAAGCCCTTCCCAGAGCCTGACCACGATGGCCCCCTGATCTCACGCTTCCAGCATCCAGAACTGTGAGGAATAGTTGTTGTTTTTTTTATTTCAGCATATTATGGGGTTACAAATGTTTAGGCTGCGTATATTGCCTTTGCCCGCCTCTTTTTTGTTATTTAAACCATCTACTTTATGGTATCCTGTTCTAGCAGCCCAAACTGACCAAGGTGGACTCCTGATGTTGTTTCCTTCCTGGGCTCGTGAGGATTGGATGTGTCCACCCACGTGGTGGTTAAAGGTTTCCACCCGATACAGTCTCACCTTCATCTCCTCCCCCAGGACCGAGACGCAGAGAGGGAGGGGCGCCCACAATGTCCCACTAGCCCGTGTTCCAGCAAATGCCAGAAATATACCTGAAAGTTGAAGGAAGCAAGGGCTGCAGGTGAGATGCAAGGGCTGAAAGGCCGGTGGGAGAGGGCGTGGGCAAGAGGTGGGTGGAGCTGGGTTCAAATCCCTGTTCCACTTTCTGGTCATTCCTAGGATAATAATCGCTATCTCAGGGGTTACTGTGAGGGCTGGGATGTCCGAAAGGAACCTGGCTTGTCAGAGGTGGCTGATACACCGGGATACGTGCTCTGGGCTTTGCAGCCCAACAGATCTGGATTTGAGTCCAGCTCTGCCATTTCCTGTCTGTGTGGCCCTCCTGAAGCCCTTTGCCTCTCTGTGCTTTCATTTTATCATCTGTAAAATGAAAGTAAGAGCATTTACTACTTCACAAGTACGAGGTGAGGTAAAATAAGATGACACAGCTCGCCCCGACTTACCTGACTTACCAGCATCATGTGGCTGTTTATCAAAATGCAGCTTCTCAGCTTTATCTCCGAGTGCACAGAACCGAGGTGGGCCCGGGAATTGGTCATTTTAATAAGCAAGTTCAGGAAGCACCAAGGTGAGTATGCAAAGCACTTAGTCTCTATATATTTATTATGATCTTATTAATTATAGTGTGTGCCATAGACATTATCAGAGTTACTATTTTTTGCATTGCACAGAACCTGGCTGTGGTGGGGTGTCCATAGAGTCACCTGTGGACAGGTACCCTCGCCTCCCCTCCTCTCACATCCCCACCCCCTGCCTGCCTCCTTCCACGGCGGCCAAGTGGAGGAACAATCTTTCATGCGTGCACCATCCATCAGCTCAGGTCGAGTACTGCTGAAAGGTTCACTCTCAAAGCAAAGTGTTTTCTTTGCTAAACTCATTATTTCTTCCAATAGATCCAGGAAAGGATATCATCTTTAAAACCTTCTCAAGGCCCCAGCCAGCAATGTTTTTCAAAACTGTTTGCTTTTGGAGAGCAAAGGCATAATTGTTGCTTCCTGGATCAGCCAGGGTCCAAGCAGGGCAGGGTTGGGGTGGGGGGAAGAAACTACTCTAAGTTTTTAAAAAATCAAGGGAATGTAGATTCACAGGGGGTTGGTAACACAGAGGAAGGAAGAGCTGGGGCAGCCAAGCAGGAAGCCACCACCCTTGGTAGGGCTGGAGGGACAGAGGGAGGTTGGCAGGTCCTAGAGCATGGGTTCTTCCACAGGAAGCTGGAACTATGGCACTTTGTTTTGTGGGGGCTGGAGTCTCAGAGAAGACAGAGCTGCTGCTGGAGAAGCCATCCAAGTCTGGGGTGCAGGAGGAAGAAACGTCCTTGCTTTGTTCTTCCTTCTTCCAACCATGGCCAGACACTCACTGATTCAGGAGCCCAGGAAACACAGGCTGCAGGGGTAGCGCCCATGTGAGCAGGGGAAGGGAGTAGGGGAGGGATCTCTGAGAGCAAACAGGCCTAGGCCCACTGCATCCTTGTCCCCAAAATGTCCTGGCACAGGAGTTGGCAAAATATGGCCCCAGGGTCAAATCCAACTTGCTGTCTGTTTCTATAAATAAAGTTTTATTGACACGAAGTATTGTCTATGGCTGCATGTGCATGGACAACAGCAGAGTAGAGTAGTTGCAGTGGAGACCCATGGTTTGCAAAGTCTAAAGTATTTACCATCTATTCCTTTTACAGAAAAATTTGCCAATCCCTGCTTAGAGGAAGGTATCTATGGGAAAAAATGCCTCCCTATGGAGGGTGTCTTCTAGGAGCTACCAGGACTTTCTACCTGGGGTCCTGCAGGAGAAGGTAGAGAGGGGATCAGAAATGCAGTGGGAATCCTGGCAGAACCTCTTCCTTTTCTGCTGGCTCTGGCCACAGAAGAAGTGATGAAGTTTGAGTCTTCTAGCTAGACTGAGAGCTTTATGAAGGTAGGGATTGTGGATTTCTAGGATCAATTAGTACTGGCCAAACTATTCATTTGTCATCCAGGGGAAATAGCACAAAACGTTCCCATGATGTACCATCTAGTACCTGCTGATTTTAATGACAGGAGGTCCTTGTTACCCAGAGGTTATTTCTGTTAGGGTCAGCCCACTAAAAAGTGAATCTCCTTTAAAAGGGGACCAAAATTTCATTGTAGACAGTGGGGAAAAAGTGAAGGAAAAAGATGAAAGATGGAGTTATAAACTCCTGAGTTTTGTATTACATTTGTTGTACTTAACGTAATTTGGTTATACCAACAACTCTGTGCTAAATCTTAGGACAAACAAAAAATGAGTCACTTCTTTTGGCACATAGCTTTCTACCAAAATTGAGGGAGAGCATAATGAGTCATCCTTCACCTCGTGTTTGACTGACAGCAGCATCACGCAGAGTTTTTTGTTTTGTGCTTAAGTTTGAGAGCTTCCCCAAATTTTCCAAGGCTCTCTCAATCCATTGATATCAAAATCTAAATTTCAGTGCCCTGGGGCAAGTCTCGATCATCTCATCCAAGTTATAGCTCAGTCTGACACATGCTTGGTGCTCAACAGATATTTCAGAATGGAATCAGATGGAGAAGGAACAGAAGAAGTCGGAATTGGTACTAACTGATCAATCTTTTTTTTTTTTTTTTTGAAACTAAGAAGCATGAATATATATTCATGTTTGGTTGAAAGCAACAGAAACCCAACTCAAAGTTGCCTAGGCCAATAGGAGATTTCCTGGCACATGGAATCCAAGCAAGGGTGGGGCAGCCACATTGTGGGAAGGGCAGTGACTTACCTGGCCCTGGTGAACCACCGGAAGCTGGAGGATTACTTTCCTGTTTCTGCCCCTCTCCAAGTGTTAACTTCGTTCTCTCATGATGTACCAGCATACTCCACGTGGAGTAGGAAACACTGTGGCCATTGGTGTTGACTTATTAAAATTGTCGTCATAGCAACCAGACAACAATCCCCTAGTGCTCTGTGGCCTCAAATTAAAAGAAAAAGTTCTTGGCCTTTGATTGGCCCAGCTTGGGGCAAATGGCCATCCCAGAACCAATCAGTTGTGGCCTGAGGTCAAAGACCTTGGCAGCTCTTAGGGAAATCTAATGGATGGAGCTGGGATGGGACTGATTCCCAGAACAAGTGGGGAGTTCTGGGGGAGACAGAACAACAGATACCTCTACAGTGGGCTTAGCAGCCACGCTCAGTCCTGCTCCGTGGCGGCGCGAAGAGCTGCTTGGACTCATGTGAGCCCCAGACTGTGGCACAGCTGACCCCAGATGTAGTCTGTGCTCTGCCCAGAACTTGCCTTCTCATCTTTCAGGCATTGTCTCCTCCAAGAAGCTGCCTCAGTTACCTCCGATCCAGAGATCGTTGTCTGCTTTCTTCTCTGTGCCTTTACATTCAATTTACACGTGTGTGCTCACATATCATCTCCTCCCCTCTGTGAGCACTTTGAAGGTGGAGGTTATGTGCTCACAGCTGGCATCGTGCACAGCATACAGTAAGCACTCAATAATTGCTATTTTTGCTGATTGAAGGGTGGGCTTTCAGGCAGTTACTATCACATGAGAACAGCACTTGGAATTGCCAGTTGTGTGAGTTTTGGGAAAAGGAGATATAGCATAAAAGAGAGGTTAGAAACCCAAACTTTGGATTCAGCAAGTGTGGATTCCAGTTCTGACTCTGTCATTTACTGGTTACGTGACCTTGGGCAAGTTACCTAACTCCTCTGAGCCTCGGAGGTTAAAATGGGGGTATAATAACAGTACATGTTTCATGCGACATTTTAGCACAATGCCTGGCACATAGTAGGCACTCAATGAGTGATAGCTGCTTTTATTGTAAGGCAGTTAGCCTGTCCTCATTTTTCCTTTTCTGTGCTACTTTCCGGTCCTGCAGTCCCCTGCCATGGACTGGTACCCGTCCGTGGCCTGTTAGGAACTGGGCTGCACAGCAGGAGGCGAGCGGCGGGTGAGCGAAGCTTCATCTGTATTTACAGCCGCTCCCCACCCCTCACATCACCGCCTGAGCTCCCCCTCCCCCACCCTGCACCACCGTCCATGGGAAAACTGTCTTCCGTGAAACTGGTACCTGGTGCCAAAGGGATTGGGGGCCGCCTGCCTAGCAAAATTGAGACAATAAATCAGGAAAGGAAATTCTTCAGAGGAAACGTTCTTCATAACCCCAACGCTTACTAGTTGGGAATCTTAATGTTCTTTGGTGCGGCAGTTGAGGGCTATTTCAGACAGCGGCTCAGTTGTATTTCCCTTTATCCACTTAAATTATTCTGGTCTAAATAGCAGGTGTGTCTGGGGAGGTCAGATCCATCCAATTAGAGCAAACAAGCAACACAGGCTCACCAATCCCGACCGCTAAATGATAGAGCCCAGGTCAGACTTCTACAGCTGAAGCTTCCCTTGTGAATAATTTATTCCTTTCAATAATTTATTCCTTTCAAGCCCTTGTTTGTGATTTCATTATATTTAAGATAGGGCAGATGCTTTACATAAAGCCCATGTCATATCCGTTTTAAGTTCAGTGAATCAATGATTACGAGAGAAAAGCATTCCCACCTTTGGAAGTGAAGGTGATCATTGCAATACATGCGGTGGCTCCAGGGAGCTTGGGAGCCTTGACCTGTTTGCAGTGAACTCGGAGGTCAGAGAGTGTCCATGACCTGCCATCATCTCCTACTTCGTAGTCTTGGGCTGTGCCAGGTGAGTGTGCAGGTAGGAAGGTGGTTGTTACCTGTCTGGCTTGATACTTTCCTTTTTTTTTTTGAGACAGAGTCTCACTCTGTACCTGGGCTAGAGTGCTGTGGCATCAGCCTAGCTCACAGCAACCTCAAACTCCTGGGCTCAGTGATCCTCCTGCCTCAGCCTCCCAGGTAGCTGGGACTACAGGCATGCGCCACCATGCACAGCTAATTTTTTCTATATATATTTAGTTAGCCAATTAACTTTTTTCTATTTTTTTTTTTTAGTAGAGACAGGGTCTCACTCTTGTTCAGGCTGGTTTCGGACTCCTGACCTTGAGCAATCCGCCTGCCTCGACCTCCCAGAGAGCTAGGATTATAGGTGTGAACCACCACGCTCAGCTGGATACTTACCTTTTTATATCTGCCTCTTTAGACTCATTGTTATGAAAAAGAAAGAAGCTTTGCCATGGCTAGAACCCCCTTAGAAAAGCAGTTCTCGACTTGCCTGATTTTCGAATCACTGAGTCTCTTCTAATATACAGATTCCCGCTGGGTGCCACGGCGCACACCTGTAGCCCCAGCCACTCGAGAGGCTGCATGTAACTCATATGCACGTGTATTCATATACTGGGGATGAAATACTCAAAACATTTTATTGATGAGGTGTGCAATAATAAATTTGGAGACCATGGCTTTAGGTTCTCATGAAAGGAATGAGTTTTATGGGGAGGAAAGGTTTCTCCAACGATGAGGTGGTTGTTTCCGAAAGAAGAGAAGGGCTGGGCAGACAGCAGTCAGTGCTCACTTCCACCCAGCCCACAGACCAGAGCAGTGAGCTCAGACGTCCATCCATCTGAAGGGCGGAAGGTCAAATAGTACATTCCCTGGAACTTTATTGCAAGGGTCTGTCCCCCCCACCCCCCCTTCAGGCCCCTCCCTGGAAGGAAGTCTGTGCCCAGGTAACACGGAGACACACAGCCTGGCAGGGCGAGCTCATAGACCTTTCCTGGAGCACACGAGAAAGAGCCCTAGTGAACAGCCCCTGTGCTTTCCTCTTTCCTTGATTCACTGCTGCTCCTGGTTCCTACCATCCGATTTCTTCTTGCCTTCTCCCCTTTCCACTGAGTGGGGCTGAAAGGTGTGATGTACATCAACGTGATGAATATACTCAGAAAAGTCAGAGAAGGTGGTGGATGCAGGCCACCGATGTATGTCTCAGGAGGGCTGAGGGTGCAGTGATGGGAACAGCCCATAATGCAGCTGCAAAGGGTGTGTGATCGCTCAGCGGGGTGGGTGATTTGGTTACCAGACCAGTTCTCATTCCCAAGGACACTGCGTCTTCCAGTAGCTCCTCCATCGTCTTCGGGGAAGGATATTAAGTTAATACAGAGAGCACTGGCCAGCAAAGCTATGGATATTATTGGGCCAAAGGTATGTCCCACGGGAGTCAAGTGAGGTCCAGGGCCAACTTGTGGCATGGCGGTGGTCTGCACCACCCAAGGTGCCTGGTATCCAGTATGTCCCTCATATGTGCTGACTGAGTACACAGGTGGGTTTGAGTCTGTTGCTTTCAGATGTTCTAGGTAACTAAATCACCTAGCACCTCAGGCCCTTCAGCATCAATTCATTCATTTCACATTCGAGAAATCATTTCTGAGGGCCAGGCATTGCTCTCGGAGCTGGAGATACAGCGTGGAACAAGAGAGGCAAGGTCTCTGCCCTCTTGGAGCTCACATTCTTGGAATCAGAGAATAACCAAGTAAGCAAATAAATAAAGGAGATATTTTCAGATAGTGATAAGGGATATGAAGAAAAATAAAATATGATAATGGGTTAGAAATTGACCAAAGAAGTGGCCACAGACAAGATGGTGGGATCACATTTGAGCTCTGGCTGAAGGAAGAGAAGCCGGCTATGAATTAATCTGGGCAAGAACCTCCCAGGCAGAGGAAACGACAGATGAAAGGGCCTTGAGATGGAAACTCACTTGGCATAATTAAAGAACAGAAAGAAGGGCCATGTGGCTAGAGATGTGATCAGGGTCCAGACAATCTGGGCATCCGTGGACCATGGCAAACTATGTTCAATTTCATTCCAATCGCAGCAGGAAGCCATTGGAGGGTTTTAACCGTTTAATGTTCACTTTTAAAGGATTACTCTGGCCAGTATTTGGAGAGTGAGGAGCCAGAGTGAAGATGGAGAGACCAATACACAGGCTGTGGCAGGAGCCGCTGCAAGAGGAGGCAGCAAACAGCACCAGGGAGGGGAGGATGTTGGCGGGTTTCTCACAGCCAGTATGTGACCCAGGGCTCGAATCACTGGTGCGGCAGCAGACAGGCTGCCAACCACAGGAACAAGCTTCCAGCGAGAGCCGAGGTGAGAGACCAAGAAGCAGGCAGGGGACACTAATGATGAGGGTTGACCTTAAGACTGTTCTTCAGTGCTGGAGTCTCTGAATGTGGTCCCGATTAGGGCCACAACTGGATGCGAAATGGGCATTAGTGAGATGAGAGAGTGCACCAGGTGAGAGTGGAGACGTGACACGGCAGGTGTCTGGATGGTGCTGACCGTCATCTTCCCTTGGCTCCCAGCAAAACTCCAGCCAGTAGCCAGGCTGTGTCAGTCCCACAGCACCCCCCAGCGGCTGCCCTGAGGTTGTCTGACTCATTTTCTCCCTCGCTCTCTCCTTTTCTGTCTGCGAGAGGATTGTGCGCACTGGACGCTTCCTTCCTTCCTCTGTCTTTGAACACAAATCTTGGTGTGACTTCAGGAACTTCACTGGTGCACACGCCACATACATGTGCTCACTTACGCTTCACTCTCTCCTCCACCTCTTTCTCAATTCTTTTCTTTTAAGTAATTTTTTTTTTTTGAGACAGAGTCTTGCTCTGTTGCCCAGGCTAGAGTGAGTGCCGTGGCATCAGCCTAGCTCACAGCAGCCTCGAATTCCTGAGCTCAAGTGATCCTCCTGCCTCAGCCTCCTGAGTAGCTGGGACTACAGGCGTGTACCACCATGCCCTGCTAATGTTTCCTACTTTTAGTAGAGACGGGGTCTCTGCTTTTGCTTAGGATGGTCTCGAACTCCTGACCTCAAGAGATCCACCCACCTCAGCCTGCCAGAGTGCTAGGATTACAGGTGCGAGCCACTGCGCCCGGCCTCCTTTAAGCAAATCATTTCCTTTTTTTCCCCTCTTATTCGCTCCATTTCACATAAAAGTCCCAAAGGGTCATAGCTAGGCCAGCCAAGTGGCAG